AGGAAGGTAAGTAGCATTTCCGTACAGGTGCTGACGTTATACATAAGAGACGCAGAATAAACAATAATTATCAGTATATGATTCATAAAGTGTTTCAAAGTCTATTAAACTTTAAATTCACCTGTACGTACACCATATTTGTGACATTTCCACTTGTTTATGAGACCGACTTTGAACTTGTCAGCAGATTTTATAATATAGGTGGTCCCGTTATTTACCAGATGAGCTAGGAATATCACAAATAAATGGAGAATAGCAGCGCTGTATCAGTACCTTCGTTGAAGGCAGTACCTTTGAAAAGAGAAGAAGACAGAAGAAAACCGACAGAGAGGTGCAGAAGTATATAAAAGGTGTTAATAATTCAAAATATATGACAGACATGGGTTTCATCATTATTTTTATTTTTTTTCAAGAAATATTATTTTCCCGATATTCTACAGTCTTTCCTGCGAACAATTAGTTTAAGTGAAAGACAGGTGATAATTTCACCTACTTACGAGGTTTAAAAGGAGTTAAACACAAAAGTCAGAGTGCGTTAGGTATGTAAAAGTAAAGCCAGGGCCAAGTAATATATGTTTTTCTGAAGTATACAGTTCAGTGTCCTTCTGAAGTAGCGGACTCATACCATTTACTTTCATTCGGGAGTTTGCATTTAAACTTCGGCTCTAGGCAATTTTCAACTTCTATTTCTTTTTTTCATTATTTTTTTTTAATTTTTACTTTTTTATTTATTCTCATTTTGCAGAAGCCATTCGAACTCAGGAGCCTTAGCAATAGAGTGCTGTCCCACAGATAAGGGTGGTTCTCATATGTCCCCACCATCATATCCGCTGACTAGCAGTCACCACCCTCCCACCTTAGTTCAGCTCAGCAGTAGTAGGCATTCCCCTCATCTCATCATGATCGACCAATGACAAATCTCCACTATCATGACCACTGTTACAGATATCCACTTTACCTCCGTTTGTATGATCAACCACACATTTTCAAACTCTTTAATAACAGAAGTAGACAATTTGGGTTCTTCCTCACAAATCCTTAAAGGTTTTATACATTTACCCTGACTAGTAATACCTTGTAAACTTGTGGATTCAGAACTGGACTCTGAAACTGAAACCCCCTTCTTCTGCAAAAGCTGCGGTGTCGTCTGTGACACTGTATTGAATAATGACTTACCAGTTGCGACTACAGGCTTTTTCACCGCACCATTATTGTCACACAATTCTTAATCAGACCTTGATGACGCTGATTTCACATTTAGCTTACTACTAAACTTGCTCACTGATTCACAGTTCACTTATGTATGCACTTCCTGCAAACGTGTAAAACACAACCGTGTTTGTCTCGCAACTTGTAACCTATCTGTTGGGGACGTCCCTCGAAAGCTGTTACACTCACTAAGTTTATCTGGATTACTAGACACCATAAGTCGTTCTCGATATCCACTTCTCTGAGACGCTTTCGTCATAAATGAATGAGTTTTGCTCTCAGATTGCTCTATTCTAGGGGTGGGATGCAAAATACTGGCAAACTTGCTTACAAATTGATTGACACTATCTTTTACCAGTTTCAGAATATCATCGAACCTTGGCTCAATACCTTCATCCTCTATACGAGAACTAATCTTCACCCACTTGTTTTGCAGTCGAGTAGGTAGGCGTCTCTCTATTGTCTCTAGGACGAAACTTGAGTTCAGATCACTCATGCAATTCATCGAAATCAATGCGTTCTTGTAAGACGTAAGATTATCCAAAAACTCAGAGAGTGCCTTGGAGTCATCTGGTAATTGATTAACATTACCCTTAACAGCCACAAGTAATTTCCTGACAATCATCGAAGGTCTTTCAAACCTTTGACGCAGTAGGCTCATGGCCTCAGAGTATCCTTCGTTTGGGGATATGAACTTACAGCACTGTATAGCTCTTGCAGCAACTCAAGTGCAATACTTCAACAAATACGTCACTTTCATTCCATCACTTAAAGCGAAACCACTTAGCATGCCCCCAAACTCCTTGACAAACTGTGGGTTGTCGTCTGGGTTTCCATCAAAGTACCGAGGTTTATACTTGACCGGTCGATTTAAAAAGCTGAAAACATACGATGATATGGTGAGTGTACGAACAATCCTAAATAGAGGTAAGACTTTGATGAGCAAGAATAACGAATCAAATTGTTGTCTACAATCGGTGGTATTTTCTAAGTTACGACAATCTGAGAAGCTTATTATTATACGGAGTGAAAACACTGACTGGATACAAATTGCTTTTTTCAGAACATATAATTGAATTCTTAATTTTTGAATGTTTGTAATTTAGCCATGGGTATAATTACGTGACGTCCATGATTTTTATAAACTTTTAGTAAACTTTTCTTAAACCTGTGGTCTTCTTTTTCTTGGCGAAGCATTTTTTGACACGATTAGACGAATGAATAACGAAGTAGTTGCTCTATGGCTAAGAACTGTAGTTATGTTCTGGATTATTATTGTGCGTCTGTTATAACCCTATGGATATAGATCTTTCCTCATGGTGCATTACAACATCTAGAAATCATAAATGCTCTCTCTTCGGTAAATTCATTCCTACTCTATAAGTGACTGCTAATAGTTAGTCATTTGAGGTGATACGATACGTACCTCTACACGCTTTCGTCGAGATTAAAATATATTTACTTTTTTCGACTAAGTGACGATCTTTTTACCAAGAAAGTTCTCAGGATGACCATTTTAGCTTGTAATTCAAAGATAATGTAAAGTTGCTCCCTAAGGTAGTAGCCACAGGAGTTTACCTTCGGCAAAAACTATTTCAAGGTAGCTACGTAGCTATAGGTAATGCGTCATAGAAGTAAGCAGCGTACGTTGACTGTGTCTAAAGATATGAAATTTTGCATAACTGGTCAAGTCCCAGTTCTTACACACTAGTTACTGTTGTAAAAAAATGAATGTACCATACAAGCGTTTACTCTAACTTGAATACCTCGCTCATAAACATTATGCCTGCACGTGGTATACACTGAAACCACATAGCCAGTGTTTATCTATTATCCTCGTAAATACAAGATCAGTTCTAAAGAAACACTTAACCCTAAGTCAGTTCATGATGTCATCGCCTTTGAGAAGATTCTACGCTTCAAATTCCCCCAACTATATTCCGACATCGATAAGGATAGGTTTACGAAAGTACTCAGCAAAATACTACAGGTATCATGATTTATCATCATTAATTGCTATTACGTCCCCTCTCACTATTATTCAAGTGTCGAGAATTACAAGCCTCAGAAACAAAGAAATGCGTGCCATTCAGCCACCCCAGCAGAAATAGTGAATTTTTTAGAAGTAGGTTAATAAACTCCAAAACAGCCCATATAAAATAATAGACAGCATTGCTTACGAGAATACCAAGGTGATACGTGAACTTTTTAGAAAGCACTTTGCCACACTATACACCTTGGAGAACGGTCGGTAAGTGGATTTCCCACGTAAAACAGAGGAATGTCTGAGCGACATACCTTTCACAACACAAGAGATCGATGAAACTACAGCAAATCTTAGGCTAAGCAACACTCCTGGTCCAGATGGTATATCTTCCATTCTTTTGAGAAACTGTGATAATTACTTGAACTTACTATTACTCAAGTCATACTCAAATTCACTGAGCGATGGGATATACCCTATCTGCTGAAAGAAGTCTTATATTGTACCTACCGACAAATACGGGCCTGTGGCTGATATCATCAATTACCCCCCACCAGCGTCACGTCTGTAGTTTCACTGGCAATGGAAAGGATAGTAAAGACTCAAATCATTCACAACATGCTCTCGCATATACGTTTTTCACTGGTTGACCACAACTATCCGCATAAAATGGAAAGAAGTTTGAGCTATCACTCAAATTCAGTGATGAGCATGCCCGTAAATATCGCATGCATTTGTTGAAAACACTAGTTTGTACTAAATATAAATAACAAATAAAGTTTAAGGCCGATATGCTGTGTGATAAGTTCTGTGGAACACGCTAATATCATGACTAAAGCAAGAGAAATAGGTCAAGCAGGACAAAGTGGCGTTATTAGAGTCTATTAGTTGCAGTTAGATGCATAAAAGCGTAAGTTATCTAACATCCATAAAGTAGATATACAAATGCTGCAATTGTTGATCATAAAAACGATGAGTATTAAGCAACACTACATGATTCGATGGCATATTGGAAATAAATAATTGTTTCTTAGCTCATGGTCAAGTAAACAGTCTATTTGATTTCAGTGTATATTAACAGATTAATGAAGTAGCTATCAACTTTAAGTTACTACAATTACGTGCACTACATACTTGGCGTTTAGCAGTACACAGACTTGCAACCGGCTAAATAAGGCGACTTTAGAGTATCGAACAGTACGGAATTATTACTCAACTTGTTAAGCCTACTTAGTTGTTACAATAATCTATTATATAGAAACAGATGCGAAATCTTGTGAATGAGTAAAGTAACCGTCTCATAATAATAATAATAATAATAATAGTATATTCTCATTTTGTACATGAGAGACGCCAGTTTACAGGCATCATCAATATGATAAATTACATATACGATTAGCAATCGTAATTAATAATAATGTTTTAATAAAGTACACATTTTTTCCTACTTGTGTAGGACACACCAAATATACAGGCATGGATAAGCATTAATTAAATTTCATAAATTCGGTTTATGGTTAAGTTACATGGTTGCTGGCGTTTTTGTTTTAATAATAATTATAATAATGTATATTCTCATATAAACATATAAATTTACATGAAAATGCATGCCATTTTTTTAGGTCTGTGGGAACAATATGATAACCAGTCATTCAATGGAGCACATCATGAAATATAGGAATATTGTCTTCGCATTAACAAAAAAACCCAAGTAAGTTTTGGATGGATTAAAAATACTTGGGAAAAAATAAAGCTTGAAGTAATTCCTCAATATAACCTGGGTGTGTACAAATCCGAATCTCATTTTTGATTTGATTTATATCCAAATTGGGTAATAAGGAAGCTATTTTTACAGATACGATCAGTTATGTTATAAGCTACAATCGTGACGTTGTATTACAAATTGATACTTTTCCATTGGTATAAGAGTATATTCCACAAATGTAATCCAGGTTGCGTCGTGGAGAAAGTTAATTCGTTATTAACCAGGCAACTGAAAGATACGGGACCAATAATGTTTGCAGATCATTTGTCATTGTAAATGGTCAAATATCCACATTATTCATTCTCATTCAAAAAGTCAAATGGAAGCTGAAATGGTGAGAGAAAAAAGAAGACAAACAACAGCAACGCAAAAGAAAGCAACGGGAGTCCTTAAGGAGTGATTAATAAATATATACATATATATTCTGTTTAGTAACTGTGGTTATTTTGGTACACAAACTAACTAGTCCCGTTATGCTAACTTTTATATTATGTGTGAACTAATATTACTGTCCTGTGTAGAAATGTTAATCATCTAGTTCCAATAATATTAAAATTTATAATTGTAGTTTGCTGTAACTACACGTTTAAACAACTTAAAATATCTATGTAGGGTGAAAAAGAGGGTGTAAGAGTCAGACGTATAAGTGCATTGTCATCTTTGAGCAGTCTGGTGACTGAGGAGATGAACACTGGAAGTGTGTTTGCATCGCGCACATTAGCTGGTAGTCTATTCCAAATGACTGAAAACTTATTTAAGAAGAAGTTGTACCGCACGTAAGTCTGACAGTGCTCCATAGCAGCTAGGTTGTGATGATTTCTAAGATTGTAACTGATGACAGCGGTAGGTTTAGTTATTGGCTCGGAGGAATGCAAGAGAAGATTAGTTAGCTTATAGTAAAAGATAAGGTTTAGCTTAAGGCGTCTTTTCCAGAGGGGTTCTAATCTTAGTCTTACGCATCGCTCATGGTATTCCAGACCACTTTCTAAACCAAGAGTTCTTGAGGTAAACTGCCGTTGCACTCCCTCTAATTTAAGCTTGTCATTTTGTCTTAGTCCGCTAAGAATAAACGGGCAGTATTCTAAGATAGGTCGGACACATACTTTGTATAATAAAACCCTAGTTTCACAACAAAAGAAATTGCGTGTTATGCATCCTATCAGCCTTCGCGTTTTACGTCTGGCATAATCAGTCTGTTCAGCGAACGTTAGGTTACTAGAGTATCTAATACCGAGATCTACGACTGAATTGAGCTTAGCTAGTTTTCGCCCATTTATTTCAAGGTTTAGATCAAGCTTACTGTTGCCGATACAAATCCAGCCGCATTTGTCAATGTTAAAATTTAGACAGGATTCAGCACACCACGTTGCAAGGCTACTTAGTTCAAGATGTATTTTAGTAACCATATCGCTTAATTCATGAGTGTAGCAGGAGTAGACGACTTTGAGGTCGTCAGCATATAGGAATGGTTTACCTGAGGTGAAGCACTTGCAAATGCTGTTAATGTAAACTGTGAATAAAAGTGGACCTAGGACACTACCTTGCACGACCCCACTTGAGATCTGCCTAGGATGAGACAATACAGATCCAACTTTGGTTATTTGTACCCTGTTGCTTAGAAATGATTTTAACCAGTTCAGTAATGGGTTGCGAATTCCACAAGAGTACAGCTTCTCAAAGAGAATACTGTGAGATACCATGTCAAATGCCCTAGATATATCGAAGTATAGAACAACGACTAGCTTACGTGCTTCGCGACTACTAGTGATGCAGTTGAAAAAGTCGAAGTGGCAAGTAACGCAGGATCTATTTTTGAGAAATCCGTGTTGAGACCTTGTAACAAGATCCTCCCTAATTAGGTAGTCTGACAATTGATCTTTACAACTTTCTCCATGATTCGTGAGATAACTGGGGTTATATTTATGGGTCTGTAATTGCGGACGTTTGCCCTATCACCAGATTTGTAATGTGGAATTATGAAGCTAGTTTTCCACTCACTAGGGTAAGTGCCAGTGTCCATAGATATTGAGAAGAATTTAAGAAGTAACAGGGTATATCACACCCACTGTTTTTGAAAATTATCGAAGCGAGGCCATCCGGTCCCGTACTAGTGGAAGGTTTAAGGCTTTTAATTGCTTGTACTATTAGTTGATTAGTGAACACAATGCTTTCAAGGGAAGAGATAGTAAGGGGAGCGGTTTCACCAGGCATATGTGTTTCTAAACTAAAGTTTGCAAACCAATCACTGAAAGTTCACAGATAGTGGCAGGTTCATTGTAGATTACTTTGTCGTGAAGTAAGTATGGGATTTCCCTCGCTGACTGCATTCGTTTTTTAAGAAGTGCCGTTAAGTTATAAACTTTGGAGGTACTTTCAAGTGCCGTTAACTCTTCGTCGAGGTCCTTTTGAGAACGTAGGCGCTTGATAGATTCAAGAGACTCGTGGATTGAGAGCAATAGTGATATGTCCTTAGTGGAATAGTACTGTTTCTTCAGTTTCCTTAACTTATTACGGTGTGCCCTTGGAATATATTCAGTTCGGTGTCTACTTAATTTCACTATTTTATTTGGGGCAACTGTATCTAGACAAAGGGTAACATTCCTGTAAAACAGGGTTACTAAGGCCTCCAGGGAGTCAGTGGTAAAATAGTCATCCCATTGACAGAGTCGAATAAGTTCTTGGACTAATCCCCAGTCTGTATATTTGTAACTACGACATATTGTGCTTCCTGAGTCTTGTTTGTTTCCTGTATTTAGTGGTGAGAAAGGCAGAGAGCAGAGTACCATTCTATGGTCACTACTGGAAAATCTATTACCAACATAAGTGGATACTGGGATTGTGTCATGACAAAAAACAAGGTCCAAATGTTGTCCCCACGAGTAGGTGTCTGGACGTGTTGTTGCCATCCATAACAGTCTATAGTGGCAAGTAATTCGTCGAAGCGTTGGGGGCCGGAACTAGTTAGCCAATTGACTTCTGGAAGATTGAAGTCCCCTGCAATTATTTTGTAATTAGCACTAAACGAGGATGCGTGTGCAAACGATTTAGCTAATAACGCATCAGTTTCTTTTGTTGCGCTTGGTGCTCGATAAACACAGCCTATGAGAAGTTTGTACTTATCTCCATGTAAGACAACCCAGAGTGAGTCAGGTACATTATTCATTGTTTCATCTTCCACCTTACTGACTACAAATGAGTTATGTATATATATGAGACATCCTCCACCACGCTTGCAATCTCTGTTTGCACGGTGTACAGTGTAATCATCGATACCTATATGCACATCAAGTACTGAGGATGAGCACCATGACTCAGTAATCAGAGCTACAGTAGGCTTGGCGACTAATAATAATGTCCTTAGTTCAGATATCTTATTGATTAAGGAACGTGCATTAATTAGCAATATCGTGAATAAGTCACGGGATACTACAAACTGGCTTAAAATGTCACCATAACCTAAATCTATTTGTGCGTCAGCACCGCAAGAATTTATGAATGAAAAGGAGGTCGGACTGGGTGTCTGTACATCGGAGTTGGTGTGCAATGAGGTGGTCCTAGGTGCCATGGGTCGTACCAGTGATTCAGGACACCTGGAAAATTTACCATGTGTTCCTGGATATAAGGGTAGTACAGGTTGGGCCTAGGTTGACGGTTAAAAGGCATAGCATCAGAAGGTCTACCCATCCAACTGCTATTCGTCATACCGGTATACACCTTCGGGTTGTTTTTATAACTTAAAGGGAATTGTGAAGGAAGGTGCTTTGGCTGCAAGACTTTAGGAGTCTTGGAGCCTGACTTTCTATAAGGTGGAGCATGCGGAACACCTCCAGATGTACTTATGTTTCGAGAGGAGTTTTTCGTAACAAGTGATGGTTTGTTGGCATTCTTACTCTCAGCAGGCTTATTGAATACAAAGTATTCTTCCCCATCATTAGTCTCAACCCTGCGAAATTTGTTCATCGTGGTGAGGTTACTACGTTTGGGGGGAAATTTCTTAGAACAACTTGCAGAAGTTCTAGTCATTTTAACATCTTTCGATGAGGCTTTGTTTACAGGGGTACTGGTATCTAAATCAGTTCCTAGTTCCATTGGCAAGCGTGGTTGTTGTGTAGTTTGCTGAATGCTAGTTTCAGCACTAGGTGTCTGTTGCTGTGCACGATCCTTTTTAGGTAAATCTAAGCTAGAGGAGGTGACCAGGTTATTACTACGCATTATTCTGCGCTGACACGGTGTTTTATCCTGAGCTACGGTTATAGACTATATTACTATAGACTACTATAGACTATAATAATAATAATAATAATAATTTTATTTCTGTAACAGAAACCAGCCATTTTTACAGGCATGAACATATGTACATTTATGAAAACTTATAGAATATATAATATGATTTGTTAATTTAGAAATAAGTTGAATACTGGTAAATGTGAGAGAAACATTTAAAATGAAGTGTACAAATAAAGAAATAGATATAGCGTCAAATCTAAACTGTGATTGAAAAAAATACACGTCAATTTCACGCGGGAACCATAAATGGTTGCGTTAGTTGAGGAAGGTAAGTGGCATTTGTGTACAGGTGCTGACGTATTACATAAGAGATGCAGAATAAACAATAACTATCAGTAAATCATTCAGAAAGAGCTTTAAAGTCTATTAAACTTTAAATTTACCCGTAAGTACATCATATTTGTGACATTTCCAGTTGTTTATGAGACCCACTTTGAACTTGTCAGCAGATTTTATAATACCGATGATCCGTTATTCACCAGATGAGCTAGCAATATCACGAATAAGTAGAGAAAGCAGTATGTTTGAAAAGAGAAGAAGACACAAGAAAACCAGCAGACAGGTGCAGATCTGCACCTTCAGTATTTAAAAGGTGTTAATAATTCAAAATATATAACAGGCATGGGGTTCATCGTTTTTTATTGTTGTTTTTTTTCAGGAAATATTATACTATAATAATATACTATATTAAGTCTCCATCCCACTAACTAAGATTAACATGCGCAAATCCGAATTCACGTATTACAAAAGCCCATAGTAAAGTGATACACTGAAGAAGTACAGTAGAAGTATAAATTAGCAGTACATTAAACATTTCATTAATTTACAAAAAATTGTGATGAAGGGTATGTGACCGATCGACATTTTCGCTGATTTCATATTCGACAACCTCCATATACCTAAAAAATAAAACACATGTCAGGACTAGCACAACATGAAGTTATAAAAGTTAATTATATATATTAATATGCAAAGTGGATACTCTGATCCTACTAGTAGTCAGTAAATTTTTATGTAAATAAAAGTATTTATAGTCCAGAGCCGTTTTTCAAATTGACGCAGTATGCATAAACAGACCCCATATATTTTGCAGTATTGCAGGATTATACACAAATTTCAAAACAAACCTTGAAATATTCATAATTTCAAGGCATTCCTTCATCAAGATTACCTAAATATCAACTTCACACTAATCACGTTTACATTAAACGAAGTGTTGCCAATGCATAATTTAGGAATTAATCCACAATCTGAGTAATGTCTAGTGAACATGATTTTGTGAATCCTGGAGAAATTACATGTGTATATTTAGTAAACGTAAGCCCCAAATATAAGCTAAGTCAACTTAGAGATAACTTTTCAATTTACGATAATTCACGATAATTCGTGTCCAAACGCGTATGCGATGAAAGACACAGCCACATGATAAATCTTTCCCCACAGAAGATTCTGTTAGCATTTTTTTTCTTCTGAAGTATACAGTTCAGTGTCCTTCTGAAGTAGCGGACACATACCATGTACTTTCATTCGATAAACTGTATTTAAAAATCTACTTTAGGCAATTTTCAACTTCTATTTATTTTTTATTTATTCTCTTATTTTACAGAAGCCATTCGAACTCAGGCGCCTTAACAGTAGAGTGCTTTCCGACAGATAAGGGTGGTTCTCATATGTCCCCACCATCATGTCCTCCGACTAGCAGTCACCATCTTCCCAAATTTTTGTTCAAGGCTCCGGCGGAATGCTTCATTTTTTTAACTATTATATTTTTTAAATATCTGTTGCAGTATGCCACAAACTTTTTTGAATTATTCATTCGTCGACTTACCTAAGGTCATGGAATGAATGACTTCTTTCAGGAGAACATCACGTGTGTTTCATCTGTTACTGCATTTTGGAGAAGAAAAATGTAAACAAAATAGACTATCAGACTTTGCATTTTAGATAAACAAATGTAGTCTCGAAAAACAGTGCATAATCGTGTAGCATTAATCAAATAAGTTGTAGTAAGATATAATACGTTGTACTGAGTATTTTAATAATAGAACAGTAAGATAAGATTCATTGTTTAAATAAATAATAATGTATAATTGCATATAAACATAAATTTACATGAAAATGCATGCCATTTTTACAGGCACGATCTAGTATGATATAATATCAAATCGTAGGTTGTCTACAAGTTAATAATGTTTAAACAGATAAATATTTGATATATATATATATAAATACACTGATTGTGTGAACCAGGCCGTATAGTAAACGAATTGTACAGTTCTCCTCCAGGTTGAGCGGGAAAATCGACTTCGTTTCGGTTTCATCCCGTCGTTGTAGGCACACGATAACCAACCAGTATTGAGGTAAGTACAAGGGACTGAAAGCTGTTTTAGAAAAATTAAAGTGCTAAGGTGAATCAATAAAGTTCAATGAAATAGGTAAGTGCAAGTATCATTAATAAATGCATTAATAAAGGGAAATCCCTAGGCTGACAACGTTCATTTGCAATGTATAATGCTACCCCTATAGCTCGTACTATCATGATGTCCACTTTTGATTTTAATACATTTATCCTAATGCGGGTATTTTTTATTTTATACCTTTTGTGCATTTGGTGCACAACCGTACCCTACAGAGAATAGGAATAGAATGAGTCTAATCGAATTCATATAGAGCTATAAAATGTTGGGTTTAGTGGAATATAATGAGGATCGAGTAAAGACGTTATTTGAAAAGAAATGAGATGAGACATTGTGAAGTGGTATTCAAAGATCCGACAATGGAAAGCGAGTTAATTTATAAGATGCCCCATAAATCTGTGCAGATCCCTCGTGGTCGCATAGGTATAAACAAATGTAATTTCGAAAGACAGTGCATAATCGTGCAGCATTAAACGAATAAGTAGTAGTAAGTTATAATATGTTGGCTGATTTTTATGGTAGATAAGGCGATGTCTTTCAAGGAAACCAAGTCCAGTATATTGTGGTTTCGGGTGGGTTTTGAAATACTTTGTGCCATCACATAACTTAACTGCATCTATGAGTTTTCTGTAACGGGAAGGAGCACTGATTGGCCCCCATGAAACTTCAGGCATGTTAACGTCACCTCCAATCACTTTACAAGTAAAGTCTAATTTCGAAGTGTAATGGAAGGTTGCAGTTATCTCGTTTG